AATAATGAATTAACAAAAAATGTTTAATGTACTCACAATTCCTGATGTCTGAAATGAAGACTGCGAGACCTCGCATCCCATCTCCTCGCACGGCCGGCATGCTTCCTGGGTCACGTTTGATAGATCACCTCCTAATTTAACATAAAAATCAAAACATTATAAAATAATTTAAAGAGTAAAGCAAACATCTACATGTACAAATAAAATGAAATTGTGACATTCTTACTAATGTTATCTGACATGCATACTCCCAGGTAATATGTTTCAACTGTTCGTCACAACAGCAATGAAGAACACTAAAAGATTTTTCTTGGGTCAGTTCTGTCCCAGTCTAACATAAGGATCTCCATTAAATCCCCTTCAGTATTCTTCTGCTCAATCTTACAATGACCTCTTACTGCAAGATTATACTCCAAAAAAATTCTATATGTAAGCCTGCTTGTTTTGCTAATGCGTTAAAAACACTGTAATTCTCATTTCCCAGACACTTCATTTCTCTGTGGTGCAAATATGGGAACTAGCAATTAAACAGCCAGGCTAATGTTTTTGTGTAGCAACCGGCACACTGATGCATGCTAGATCACGTGACCACAATATTCAGCCGTTTTGTGTCAGTCATTAGGATTCAGTTTGTTTCCTGGTTACCATAAGTGTTTTATTTGCAGTGCTCTGTCTGCCAAAAATAGGAGTGATAAAATATTAAGAGTTTACTGCTGAATATAATCAACAAATTTATGGTGGAAATGGAGAATAAAGTCACCAGCATTAAGAAAACAATAAACCAATTTCAGTGAGAAAAAATCAGTGTAAAGGACACAGCATTTATGTGAATTAAACTATTTCAAGATGTAAAAAGATGTTAAACATGACAAAAGATACAGGCATCTTCAAGATCTCATTTAAATGTTGAAAAAAATGAATGAAATGAGAAATTATTCTAGACTGATTGCTGAGTAAGATAGCAAAGGCAAACAGCAGCAGTGAAACTGTGAAATTAATTTTACAAAACATCTGAAGATGAAAAATACCTGTATCAAAATGCAATTAATTTTACAAAACATCTGAAGATGTATCAAAATGTAAATGAAAAATGTCAGCAGCAAGAAAAAAGTAGAACCCAACTTTTAGAAAAAATTATGATAAATGTGTGCCTTCCATTACAATTCAGAAGCAATATGCCAAAATATCAAATGAAAAAAGTTTCTGTGACTGAAAAGATGTGAAAATCAAAATAAAAGGTCAAAACCATGCTGATCTGCTGTTACGATAGCAAAGGAACTATCGACTGCAGATATGTTCCTACACAACAGTCAGCCTGCCACTCAAGCATTGTAATGTTTATGGCAGCATATTAAAAAAATAAGACCAAATCTTGAGCCAAAGCACTGAATTTTGCATCACGATCATGTGCAAATTGATTCTGATAAACAATTACTTCAGTGATATGTAGAGTTCACCTTGCAACGATAAAATCATACAAGGAGCTTATATATATATAAAACTAATTCAATAACACAACATTTCTATAATACTTAACCCCAGCCTAGTCAACCATTTTGATAACATACTGATTACTGTGACTTATTTATACTGTTTAAATAATGAATGAATGTAAGTACAATCAACCATATCTAAAATGGATCCAGTCTGAATACTGAGACTAAACTCTTCACTGTCTGAATGTCTGTCTCTTCTATCACCATCCTCAGTATATATTCCATTCTAAAATACAAAACAGATCTGTCTCTTTCATTTTACTGTTTGGAAATCATTATGCTCTCAATGTCCTCCTTTACAACTGAAAGACCTGTTTAACCTTTCCAATTAGATTTATCACCATTTTATTGGTTCAAATTTGAAAATCACTGATTTGTCCCATTACTCCATGTAATTAGAGCACTCTTCACCAAATCAATGCATATTCTGTTTTAACTACTACTAATCCAAAATTTGCTCAGATAAAATTTTGACATTGACAGATATAATTTTTTATATATATAAAAGGTTTTAATATTTTAACATATGTACTATGCAATATTAAATTTAAATCAGAAAAAAGTATTAGAGAGCACATTATTTTTAATTCAGACGTCAAAATCATTGGTTAAAATTACGACAATAAATACAATGACATGATCTGACCTAACCTAATTCGCATAAGGCTGCTTCTCAAGCTGTATCGAACTTTCACTTTGCCATAACAATATTTCAGAGGTTTCGTATCAATGTAAATCACTGCCGATGTTTTCGCAACTGTAATATAATACAGTACAATATAAGACTTGTGATTTGAATCTTCATTGAGACTACTGTATCTTTCACTGGCTAGTAAGATGACGCCTAAAATAAAATGACAACTCTTCCATACAACAAACAAACTTTTATATACTAATTCTACCTCAGCAGACGGTTATTATTAAACATTCGAATTGTTCGGTGCATTAACTACGTACATCGTAAGCTACATTCGTTCATCGTGTAACTGGTCAACGAATTCGCATCCAAAGTCAATTCAATCAGCCAAGTTCCTAAGTCATACATTTCCACGCTCTTTGTATAAAGAAATGCATTTACAGTCATGTAATTATTATATAAATAAGACATTAGTACTTACACAAAGTATACAAGATGGGAATGAGAATATGAGGAGATCTACTGCAATAAATCCGGCTACGCTGACATGAAACCTTTCAGTTCTTCGGTACCATGACCGTCGCCATCGTCGCCATTAGAAAAGTTTAGTACTCGATCACTCCACCCACTTGCTGCGAGAGGGCTTTGGTCTGAAAAAGCGGCAAATTCAGTTGTTATCTGACAAACATTCTGAGCTGCAAACACAAAAAAATGATGAGTCATTTGATGTACCAACAAGAAATACCAAACATAAAAACATTATCCATCTTGGATAAGCACTTTTTCTTCATAGCAATTCTTTAAATGCAACTTCACCACTAAAATTGAAGGTATTGCAGGCATTACAATAGAAAATTACACAGCTGGATCTTACATATTGAGATCACTGGTCCCCAGAAATTTGACAGTATAAATTTTTGACAATGTATTAATCAGTACTGCCATTTTGTGCTGTACCTTACATTATCGAAGACTTCAGTGTACATAGAAAATGAATAAAAATACTGTCGAGTATGGGACGTGATTCAATACAGGGTTCTCTTCAAAAATTAATTAAAAGTACCTAAGTCCTGCTACTGATAATTTGGATACCAGCTATACATATCACAAAATGCTCTCTGAACAACTAAGGTGATCTTGCTCAAAACTAAAACATTTATAATGAATGAAAAAATGCTAGTGTGCACTCCTTCCCAAATATGAGATGTCTCCTAATTTAATTTCTTCTAGTGTGGACAATAACTGGGCTGACTGAGGATCCTTACCTGTCTTTAAATACTGGTACCCCTGCACCATGACAACAGTTTAACGCTGTATCATAATGAACTTACTGAAGGGCTTGGCACAAGAATAAACAAATATGGTGAATCCTGACTGTTAATTGGACAAGAAATAAAACAAATCTGAAGTCACAAATATATATTTATGAACCACATGAGAAAAGAAAAAGTTTTTATTTTTAGTTCAGACCACTGATATCCTTTAAATAAAAAAGATGCCCAACATTAAACACTGGCCCTGCTCATGCCATTCTTGTCAGCATAGAATGTTTCAACCTGTCTAAACTTGTCTTCAAGTTTGCACACACACAATCATGCTTTAACAACAGCTACAACATTAGCACCAACAGCTGTTATCTTCAAAGTCACTGAAGAAGAGTCCATAGTGGGATCACTTGTTTTGGCCAGCCTGCCCATATTTTAAACATTAAGTGTGTTTAGAGTTCAAAATTATGATCTGAATGTACAGGCAAACAATATCAATTTTAGAACATAAATAAAAACAATGAGACGATAAATAAGAAATTAACTTGATACAAAAAGCACTAAGAAATGTCATCTCATTGTTTGACTGAAAGACAACATTCTTTTACTCTAATTTGCAGGATACTTTTCAAAGAAATCCATTAAGACTGCAGCTCACTAATTAGTAGACTAAATTGACAGTAACACAGTGGTTCATTTAATATTCAGGGAAATAAAATTGGTTCAGTTGAGAAATTCAAAAAATGAACAAATGTTCCTTTCTACAATCTTATATGTAACACTATAATCACACACTGAACACTTTACAATTCTATTTAATAAACAATTTGGACACATATACATACAAATTATTTTCTGGCAGTACACAAAAAATGTATATCAAACCACCTTTTATCCATGTAAAAAATTAACAAAAATAATTTTAAATAAAATTTAACATTTTTTATTATATAATTTATCCAAAGTTACACTACTACTTATTATACTGATTTTTGTTTTTCTCTTATCTAAAAACAGTATGTTGCCCTTGATGTTTCAAAGGTTGACTTTTTGTCTAAAGAACTTGAAACTGTTGCCTAAATGCCCTTGCCACAACAGTGTATTGCATCTTTCTCTCTAAAATAGCTGTTGCTTACAAAATAAAAAGATAGACAAATGTAGAATGATTCTGTCAGAACTGTTGTACAACACAAAATGCATACAATTTATTTTATCTTTAAAAAGATAACTGTAAATAACTAAAAAAATGGCTGCTTCTTTGCTATCATAACAAAATTAAACTTTATCAGTTTTGGTGCAGTGTTCTATAAAAATTGTATTATCACAGTTAATTCTTGCATATTGTACACATAAAGCACAGACTTTAGATGAATAAATAACTTTCTCACATCATGATTCAATCCTGGAGATTGGTTATCACTGCCAAGCTTCTTTTGATTTTTTCGTCTCTGCATTTGCCTGGACAGATACAAACAGCTCAAAAGAGGTTATTACAAACACTGTATTATGGTACACACAACTCAATATTCATCACAATCTTAACACCATTATGTCTATAAATCTAATAATTTGTGTAATTAAAGACACAGGCAATAAAGTACAACTTAAAATCAGATGATAATTTCACGTACATTTTATTACAATAAAACACACATAACAACATTAACTTTGGTCCAATCTGTCGTATATATACTACATTTAAAGTCCATAAAATTACTTTTCTGTTCTACAAAAGGAATTTCACCAAAATGTTACTAAATTTACCAGTGTCTAAAGACACTGAGAGAAACATCATCAGATATCAGTTTAGACTGCGATAGTAGTTAAGCATCTTATGAGGATCTGAAGCCAAGTCTCTTCAAAACATAATGACAACAGTACAGTGTTTCTTCACATATCAATTTTAACCAACCTTCTGTCCATTCTAAAATGGTTTAACCACAGACAAACTTATATGAACTTATAGAACGAATACAAAATATTTTAATAAAAATGTAATATAAAGAAAAATCTTCATTTAAGACCATGCTTAAGCAACCAAAACAAATGCAATTCTGCTTTGTAAATTTTTGCGGTTGGAGTTCAATGTATAACTTTGGACCTCATCCAAATGCCAAAGTTAAAAAAAATAAAATAAATTTAACTAATCTGCAAAAGAAATCATTTCATGACACTTTACACCTTCATAGTATATTATAAGAAGTATAGGCAGCTATACCGGGGCATGGCCATTCTCTTATGTATGAACACTTGAACACTGCTGGTTGTTGACTTTCCTAGTCAGTCAGCTGCAGCAATATCAAAAGTAGATTTTAACTACCTACATTACAGGAGATGCTGTACAGTGGCATCAGGTGATGGCAGTAGAAGTCAAGTTAGCTCAGACATAACACTGTATCTTGGAAGCTGTTTTAAGACCCTAGGATAAAAGTAAAAGGTCAAACTACCATGCCCCCAAGATACAGCAATGAGATTTCTCAAAATAAGTTTTGCGGCACATGTATGGCACAGCCTTTCTTAATGTTTTACAATGCTTCTATAACTGTAGTAACATTAATGTGCTTTTCGCTTATGATTTACCTCACTAGTGGTAAGGAAATGCCAGTAATACTTCAGCCAAAAGTACAAGACACCCACAGCACAGTACACAGACGTAAGCATAAGAGGTAAGAAGGGCAGTCTTGTGTTCAACCCTAATAATGGAAGTATCACATTTTCAAACACAAAAAGAGGAACAAGTCCTAAAATATAAACTGATTCAAGTCCACTGAGAAGGGGAAGACATAATGAACACTTCTTCATATCAAATAAACTGGCTAAGTTAAAGAAAGCATATGAAGAATGGAGGACTAACAGAAGCACCTTGATAGGAAGTTCAAATGCTGTGAACAATAAAGGAAACAGGGAATAATGCCCCACTGTAGCCAGGAACACATACATCTGAGCTTCTTTCTTCCATATAACAGCCATGAAACTGAAATAAATGACATAACACATACAATTTATCTTTTCACTATTAAAATGACAAAATGTAAACACATGTACCTACATTCTCAGCTATTACAATGTCTAGACATTAATAACATCAAAGAATCACTAAGTATACTACATGCTGCAGAATACTCCTCAACAAGTTGGTTAATAAATTTCATTTTATGGAACCCACGTGTTTATTACTGCATTCATAAGACCCTATTTTGAATATCTTTGTTTCTGCTCTCACTTCTAAAATTCACCTGATATGACTAAATGTTGGAACTTAACAAACATGGCATCAGTCACAATGAGTTACTTTACCTTCATTCTGAATTTCATCACAATTACTTACAGATCTTAAGTTACTATTGGAACTACAGACAGATGGATGACACCCTAACTATCTTCCCTTTGGAAAATCAAGTTAAAAGCACTGTTGTATATTTCCAAAAGCATGGTTTCCTTCAAAAAGTTCTATCTCAGATATTCCACGATCAATAATAAATTCCCATCCTGTTTTGGGGAATCATTCCAGAAGCCACCTTAAGTATGAACTAAAAAGTGTAGGAATATTTCTGGTATCATTTCCACATTTACCATTACTCTTAACGCATGAATCATGCCACAAATACAAAATAATCCATGCTGCCAGAAGCAAACCTTAATGGAATGATGATCAGAAGAATAGCCTTTTCATGCACGTGCCAGCCAAACATGAAAGATCCACAGGCACACAGAACTATGCAGCGCACAAAATGGTATGGGTTTCCAGGGCAACACCATAGCTTCACCAGGGCTGGCTAAAACACATGACAGAATACAAACTTTTTGAAGGCATGCAAATTATTTGAATACTTGTAATGTTATCTTCATTACATTACAAGTGACATAATTATGCATAGATCATATTAATGGCCTACAGGTAAGAGTGTGGAAATGAACTCCACAGAGCAGAGTCCTTAGTAAGATGCTAACAGTCTCTCAAGAATCAAGAAATTCCCTTCCCATTATGCAATTTAAAAGGTTCAACATTGTTTTCAGCAGATACCACCATTGGACCTTAACCTAAACCAGAAGTATTCAGTAAAACCCCTCATATTATAGTCCTTTATGATTAATTTTAATATTATCCTCTCAAATAGAGGATAGGGACAGAGACAAAGTTACATTGTTACTTACCAGAACTGAGAGAAGTGTACACAAAAAAGTAGTTCTGGGTGTAATTTCTGGTAGAAAAACATGATTGTATTCCTGAACAAGTCCACCAGTCATGACAGCAGCAGACACATTACTGGTAATTCCAAGTTGCCTGCCTGAAAATCATATTTTATTGTACAAGAGGTGTGATTTAATTTCTTGTATTATTCCCTTAGTTATAGGAAAAGAACATTATTCTTAGACTATCTCACTCATTCCAAAACAACATTTAACATAAAAAAGACTAAGTACTAGGTTTATGCTTTAAAATGCCCTGTTTCTTGTCCATCAGAAGGTAACCATTCATAAGCAGTCTGAAATGAATTTTTATAATTACAAGAAACACATTTCAAAATTCATACAAAGGAGTAATGTACAACTAAAGACCAAACTGGTTAACAAAATAACATTCATTTTACATATTTCAAATAATAAGACAAAATACACCTGCCTGTGACACTGTTTCAACTTACACACGCCTTTTAACACACCATCAAAATCCTGACAGCAGAACGAGAAGAATCCAAGTAGGATTTAAGACTTCAAGGCAGTGAGGCCAAAGATGGCTGTCTTCTGAGTTGTAATGTCGTGCAGTCTGGTAGAAGTTTACCGACATTTCAAAGGTCCTTCCTACCTCCACTCATGGCCTTGATGATGGAGGCAGCAAGGACCTCTGAAACACTGGTAAACTTCTACCAGATTACATGACACTACAACTCAGAAGACAGCCATCATCAGAATAATCCAGCCCAACAAATTATAATCTATCTTTTACATTTTCCAGTTCACTGTGAAATGATGTATGAAATGCAAAATGTTAGGGTCAACTTAAAAACCACCCTCCCTTCAATGCCATCGTTTTTCTAAATGGCTGTCTCCACAAATAACCAGAAAATACTCTGTGTGTATGCATATCTTTGGGAAGTATAGAGCAGTGGTACTCTTTCTTTGCTGTCTGATTAATTACTCTGCAAATTCTATAAGGGATTGCAATAATGTTTCAATAGGGAGAAAGGTTATTTATTTTTAGTTGCATGCAGAAACATAGCCTGTTCATTGCTAATGTAGAAGTACAAATTTGTAGCACAAGATGTCAAAGCCAAAGACAATTAAGTAACTGTAAACCACAAAAAAAAAATCAGTCTAATATTTGTATTTATCTCAAGAGTTCTACCATTTTTGTTGTTCAGTAAGTGTGGTTTGAGCAGTAAGTAATTTGATTAACATAAAATGGAAATGAAAATCAACTCTGCCAAATCAGAGAACAGTCACATCCTCTGTGGATACAAGGATAAATGAACATGCAAACAACAGAACAATAGAAAGATTAAGGACACAGGGATAACAGAAAAATAACCCTTACATAACATTATTTCAGAGTGGGCCATAACATTTACTAATACCCTACAGTGCATGAAACAAAGCTAAACCTCACCATTATGTTAAGCGTTTTATTAAAAGAAACAAGATCCTATTAATTTTTCTTGCATACTTCCTACCTGCAATAATGGCCATTTTATCAGCAATGTTATAGAGAGCCCAGATGTTTGGTGCCCAATAGGCATGGCAGAGGCCTCGCTTAAATGGGAACAGTCTTGAAAACACCTGAAACACACATTTATCACAATCTTCTTTTTTATTATTGTTGTGGTGTGATAAGACTGACTCAGTGGACCTGTGGCAGCTGTCTATTCCAAGAAGACACATGAATGGTTATGGAGCAGTGGTGGGATTAATAAAGACATGGGAAAACCAAAGAACTTAGAAAAAACTTGTCCCAGTGCCACTTTATCCACCACAAATCCCACTGGGCTGAACTGGGCACAAACCTGAGACGCCAAAGTAAGAAGCCAACAGCTAACCACCTGAGCTACAGCAGAGCCTATCACAGGTATTGATATATTTTTGGGTATTATTATTATTATTTACATAGATTCTATGTTAAATTTGCCAGATATAACCTCAAACTCTCACAATTGCCATTATTGTAATTTTTAATTCACAAATAATATTTCAAGAATAATTTGTTGGTATGATTATGATCTATCTCCATAAAATATTTCAAATTATTGTTGTTTTACAATTCAACAAAGAGGTATCTTACAAGGGTATATATTTGTCAATAAATGTTAACACATATCACTGCACTAGTATTGCTGCACTCTTACAAGTTCATATGTCTACTATGTTGTTACTACCAGCTGTATGGAATTGAAAATTATGAGGTTAAGGTGGCCACCAAATTTCACAAAAAACAGTTTAATGGCCCACAAGTTGAGAAAGGGACACACAGACAGCATGGTGCCCTCAGATGCTTACATTCTTTCCTTAAGAAAGGAAAGTAGACTATGCACCAAACTAAATTAGTACTAAGAATATTTTAAAAAATCAATGGCAAATTTAAAACAAAAATAACTTGCAGGAATTAGCCGGCTCTTAAATTATTTTATAAAAAGGGCGGAAATTAAGAAATGGATTGATAAAATCTGAGAAGCAATATTAATTACCTGGAGTGCAAAGTAGACCTACCTCCTTGTGGTGCACCCTGGGCAACGTCTTTGACGGCAAAGTGGTCTACAAGTTTGGCAAATGGGTCAAACATGAAATTCTATGTACCTGCCATTTAACATAAATAAATATTAATTACCTGAGGTAGTTGGTTCAAAACAATGAAAGGTCCAAAAGAGACTAGGAAAACATATGCCACCACTAAACCAAGCTTGGCAAATCGAGCTGGAGAAAATGATCTCCACTGAACCAAGCTGCTAGACTGTGCTCCAAGGAAGCAGTAGCTACGCAGAAGATAGACAAAATATGCTGGAGCCACATATATAAAAATATGTTTCAAGTTCAGAAGAACTGCAAACCAGAATGATGCCATCAAGCATTTACCCTGCAAAAACAAAACATGAAAACAATAATATATAATATGTATACTATAAATTTTATTTGTACAAAAATTATATTCAAACTTTGGAAGTATTGCTGCTATTGCTGAACAGATTCTGAAAAGAAAACTTAATATTAAAGTCACTTACTGGTTACATGAAAACTTATATAAATGTATAAATACATTTACTTAAAACTTCAATGAATAAAAAAAATGTCAGGCATATGTTGTGATATGCAATAAAACAAACATACTGAAACATCTCTCCTCCAAACAAAATTTCTAAGACAAGAAACAAACATGTAGCAAAAATCACAGAATTATTAATTACCTGTAGGACCCTAGCCACAGAAATCAAGAGAAGACCCAGTAGAAAACCATTATATTGAAAATGGATATGGTCAACCAACAGCAGACCAGCATTGCCTAAGAGAAGTATCTGTAAGATCGCAGCTGGTGACCCCCAGCGAGATCCCCATTTGCTGCTTTTTCGTATTCCACTGCTACTCAAATAGCTACATAGCCTGAAAATAATCCACAGCATCTTAACATCTCCCCTATCTCTAAATGCGGTGATTATTTTCAAAATAAACTTCTCTTATATCAATTTTTAACACTCAGACATAAATAGAATAGATGGCCAATCCCCTTTTCTATTACAATTATAAACATGATCAGTCTCTGTATCAGCCTCATTTTGCTACAAAGAAAGAAGAATAAGTTTTAAATAAAATGAAAGTAAAACAGTGAAACAAACATATTTGTACTCATGCTTCTACAAAAAAAAAAGTACATCATATTAATAGTATTCCAAAAACAACAGTTATTCTTGACCACAAGTACAAGAGGGGGGGGGATGAAAGAAAGAAATAAAGAAAGGAAAACAGGATTGGAAAGGTGTACGCTTTGGAGAACACTGACATTCCAAAGGTGTCCTTCACATGCCATATCACGTAGGCCATTGCTGCAATAATATGATCTGAAGCCATTATTACATCTAGATCATTACTGCATTAATGTGATCCCATGGCACTGTTGTATATTCAATAACAACAGGCAACTCTTGGCAGATCTTGTAGATCATGTATTACATTCCTGAATTTTAAAAAAAAAAAAAAAAATATATATATATATATACATTTCTTTGACATAATGAAACATTTACAAAGCCATAAATGGACTTCATATTTTCAGATACATAAAATGGCAATGATATGAGTACACCTAAATTATTTCCTCAGTTATTTATTAAAACCAGTTTAAATTGCAGGTTGAAGTACTTACTCTCGAGTTCCATAAGCAAACACAAAATCTGTGACAATCACTGATAATCTCTGGAACAGAATTGTTCCTGAAGATGCATAGTTCAGGTTTTTCACTTGTAACATCTCAGCATCAAAATATTTTGCAAAATAAGACAAAATAAACTCAAACCACGCAAACAAAGGAGGATAATCCAATGTCCATTCTGATGTTGCTTCCTGGTACCATTCGCTTATGGGCAGGCTATGGGTAATGGCCAACCAGTTCCGATGTACCTCAAAATCTGTCGAATGACTGGGAAAAAGAAATTATAAAATTACTTTCAAAGCAGTAAAACCATAGAGATGTAATGAGTACATGCTTTATGAAAGGTTTTATAAATTCTGAAACACAGGCACTAGGTAAAATATGAATGCAGTTGTCTTCAAAGCTGTCCCCAGCACACTCAGCAAAGGTATTTGGGGAATGTAGAGGAGGTATGACTCCGCCTTATTCCTGACCTCGCTGGGCCACAGAACCAACACGGACACTTCCTTTTACTTCTTTCCTTAGTTCCAAATATTTTATTCAGCATCCTGCTTTCAATGAGACCTAGTTTCAGCCCTATACAATGGTAAAAAATAATTCCAAAATTTAATCTGCTCTTAATTCTTTACAAAAGTATTTTTTAATTTGCTACCGACCAGCTCAAATATTTAGAGTTTATCACAGTCTAATTTATTACCTATCATTATATTATGATTTTGCATTTCATTCTAATGCACATAGCTAACTTTATTTGTGTTTACTTTCGGGCCATCATCCTTCCTGACTTTTAACAGAGATTGTTTTTTTCTATGTGGTATTTATGTAAAATCCCCACCAAACAAATTTATATCGACAGCACAGACCAAAAGCTAATGTGTCCCATTCAATTACAATACCCATTATTTATTTAATTTCTAATGGTGCATCGCAAAGCACAACTGAAAACAGTGACAATGAATCTGCACCACGTTCATACAAATAAAACGACGGCATTCGAAGTCTACAGTTTGGGTACCCCCACTACAGGTTGGGCAGCCGATCAAATTTGTCGTTGTCGTAAGCGATTATTCTTGTTGAAAAACATTTCTAAACACAGTTAATTTAGAAGGAACTACAAAAACTACTGTATCCAAGTCAGTTTGTAAAAATGAGCATACGCTCGGCACATGTCACGATTTATATTTCCGATATAACATTTTGAAAACTATAATAAATGCTATCCTTCCACATAACCTCTCTGGTGTTGGCAACATTGTGTTGGCGCTTCTGCTAACATGCACTTCTATACACATAATTTTAACCATATTTGGAATTATTACATTGGATTTATGTTGTCTGTACTTACTATGATGGAATTAGCAATAATTTGACACATAAAATTAAAGCAACTGTGCTCCAGAACATATTTCACAGTGAAGTTGACAGCGACAACCGGCATACACTTAACATTTACACGCAAACAAAAGTGAAACAATATGCCAAGCTTCCAACCTCTCGGGCTGGCACAGATTACCCCGAATCGTGACCCATAGAAAATCCTGACAATCTATGATTCTACACGAGCTGTAGAATGTTGTGGCAGCATCACGATCTAGCGGCTTTTGTGAGCCGAAATAGACTGGTGAGCTCTCCCATGGTCGAAGAGCTCTCCTATGTTCTTTTCCTCACCACTCAAGCGTGAAAGTACCGATAAAAGAAACACTAGCTCCCTCGAAAGAAAAGTGCACTCCCTGCTATGTAAAAATAAACTGTGGTTATGGTATCCGAGTACGATTGTTTTGTTGAGAACACATTTGTCAGAAAAGCAAATGGAAATGAATGTGCTTGTCAGTGACCGATGTTCACGATTGCCTCTGCCTTTAGGAATCGATGTGGCAGTTGATTATCCATGATACTTCAGTATATGTTCTACTAACTTGAGAAATATGTTCCAAATTGAATTTCATACCAAAATCAATTGTGTTATATGTTTGTACGATTACTATTTTGTTCAGTCTTGCATTATATCATGGAACCCCTTCCCAAAAAATCCACGGGTCATGCCATCAAAAAGTCAGAAAAATTACATTTTTTTAAAAACAACATATTAAGTACATATCCTTAGTCACTCTGAAGTACAGCAATTCAGGCAAAAAGGTATTTACTGTACTCTTGCCTGCATTATTTTAATTTCCATTCATAAACTCTTTACTTTCCATATTTAAAAGTAAGGTTATCCTGAAATGGTTTCTGTTTCACTTACACCCACTAAGTAAATGCTGTGATACTCGCATAACTCTTCAGAAATGGACTAGTAGGATAAGTGCTTATGATGGCTTACATAAGGTGCAGAATCTTTTTGTAACAAGTGAAAACTATAGAAACATACATTACAATAATAACAAATGATTCAGGGAAAAATCAAAGAAATTCCAGATGAAGGATAACTTATGTTTTTACTTTTTTTTTAATGCACAGCTTCCTTTATGTGTCTCTGTGTGGACTTCAATGATGAAGACCAGCTTATTAAAATATCTAATAGTTAGGCTAAAAAACTATACTCTTATATGAGTGATAAAAAGACCAGTTATTTTCATGGTGGAATAAGTATATTATTCAAACAAAATTAATTAAAGCTTGTGACATTAATCATATAACCAAGCCTTAATATTCTTACAGTTCAAATTATATGGTGTTGTGTCTACAAACCAAGGACCAAAGTTAAAGCACCCTTTTGTTGTTTTAAAGTGTGATATAACAACATGATGTAAATGGTTATTCATACACAACACATAACAAAGTATGAATATAATAATATTACATTCTTTTCATAACCATATCATCAATTTATACCTTAACATATTTCTCATATTTTTACCCTTCTTCCAAAATGGTAACAAATTTGTGGCAAATTATTAATATGAAAGTCATATTAGAAAATATTTTGCATGATGCTTGGTTACCTTTACAATTCACTGACTGAAATTGTAGCTGAAGAAGCAGTCTGAGAAATAAAACCATTTAGACAAGGCTCATCTTTCCACATCGCAGAGGTGACTGTGATTTTCCATCATAATTGATTGTCTAAATAACTAATACATTAAGGCAATTTGCAGATACATCAACTGCAAGAATACCTACCAAATTCCAACAAAGCTGTTATGTCTTGTTACAGATCATAACACTTGGACTGGGGTTTCAGCAAATATACAATGCATACTAATAAATATTTAAATCACACAATTATATATAAGAAGGGTAAATCACAAAGTCTTACCACACATTCTACCATGAACTTGAATGAAAAGTATCTTTTACTATATAGTTCAAAACAAATATTGGCAAAAATGCATTATGGCTGACAAAATTCATGTGTGCCAACTACAAACTTCCAACCAACAGTTACTAACATGAGAATGTGATGTTTCATCTCACCTCTACAATTGCACTTATCTAAGTACAGTTGAGTTTCCCACTTTACACTATTATGTCTAAACTGCGAATGTTACGTTTTTTTCTTTGTTGCACTTTTCACTCTGTGTTTTGACTCTTTTCCTTGTACCTGAAATAAAAGCAGCTGCCAGGTTATGTGAATAATCTTCTGCAACTGAACACATGCTATGAAAACAATTAACAAAGTTATATAAGGTAAAAGTTTACATATTTAATAAAGTACATTTACACAATGTAATGATACATTTTGCAACAGTGTATAATTTCTTAAATAATGAACTTTGAACTGATGAAACCTAAACTGAAGCACCACAATGCAACCAGGTGTAGCTAGTTTTAAAATCTCTTCATATTTAAAGTGTTACATCACATTCCTTCTGCAGCTAGATGGGCCAGCTGTCATACATAAATCATTCAGGAGAAGATCATGATAACAGTTCTTACAGATTAAACAGATTATGTATACACAATGCATAATACATGATGATGATAAATATTTAGTCCATATTAAAGGGGAAGGAAAAATGTACATTTATGACTTATTTTGAAATATCATTTGAAAATAAAGGAAGTGTCTTGGGGATATCTGGTTGCCTTAAATGCATAAAAGAAATTGATGATATACGATACACTGGAGCCTCAATATACCGCGCCTCATTATACTGCGAATTTGGATATACTGTGTCTGTGATCATAACCCCCAATACAATTACATATGTTTTACATATTTCACAAATAACACAGGTATTGAAGCTATAACCCAAAACCCGTGTTATATCGAGGTGCCACTGTATTAAAAATATTCAGATGCCAGAATGAATGTATGTGGGAAATATATAAACTTCCTAATCTATATGAAGGCAACATAAAAAAGTGTGAGGGTTAAGGAAACCATTATCAAATAATGTAAATGACATTTCGGTAAGGAATATAAAATGACAGTTGGTCAAAAGAAAAAGAAACACTTACAGAATACAACTAACAAAGTAGAATAAAATTGGGGGTTGTTATTTGAGTTTTCTGGAGTCTCATCATAACTATTATCAACTGAGCTCCAAACAACAAGACGTAATTACAGATAAACCCATTTCTGAATTACATGTGTTTGAATGTTTCAAAAACTTGTACTCTAAACTCAGTTATGAATTCACATAAATTAAGTTGTTCACTGTAGCAGATTGTCAGGGCCCCACTGCTCTCTAGAGCAAACCTTTATGAAATTACAAATTATCTAAAGAAATATTGCCAACTTTTCCCAATTTAAAATACAATTACAAAATATTCCTACCAATTCAAGAAAATAATACATTATTGCAAATGTATGAAACAAAAATATTTCAAATAATTAAAATATTTTTTCCAAAAGAAATTGTGTGAAATTAGTATTCTAACATGTATTATCATGTTTGTAAATGAGGTCCAATTCAACTCATTTCGAGAGTTATTCAACATTAACTTAACAAATGAAGAATATACAAAACATTTTCTACATGCCTTAGTTTAAAGAATTAGAAATTAATTTTTATCATGCATAATATATACATTTAAAACTGTATTAATTTATGCAGCTACTTAAAACTATCAAACACTACAAAATTACTGGCAAATGTCTTTAGGCAATGCAAGTAACATATTATCTACATAATACCAGCTTCCAGCATCATTTGCTGTGAGGTGACAAGCAATATTAGGTGACAGAGTGATCACATTAGCAGTGCTTCAGTCAAAATCTGCATTTTATGCTCATAAGAGCAGAGGCAGATAGAACTTGAATATAAATAAAGCTTTATATATACATTCCTATTAGCAGTTCTGATTATACATAATAATTAAAATAAAACAATTTAGCAATTAAAAGTCATAATATTAAAAACGACGACCATCATTGGACCAGTCTTTAAATTTTTAGGATTCAACAATTTTTATTTACAAAAATTTGAGTACAAAAGGACTCATATTTGAGTTAGTCTGTAATAAATCACAGAACATAGTTTTTCAAGAAATTTTCTTACATTTATGTAGTTTAATGTCCGTCACTTTCTGCACACCGATCGCTGTGTTAAATTGATGTCTGAGTTTAAATGAGAAAGCTGGTTTGTTGCATTTAGAATGTACCAGCATAAAATGTGTCATCACACATGGCAAGGAGTAAAGCTATCCGCAGAATTTACTTATCACACGCAAGTAAAGAGACTAGAATGAAAAGTTTCACATTACTGTATATTCCACAAATACGTAAAGTACAGTAATTTGTTATATGAATGCATTCAGTAATATGCATATGCTGAAGTTTTAAGATGATGATGATACAAAAACTATCATCTCAAGAAATAAACATTTTCTTTTCGCTGAATCTATTCCCAGGCCACAAAGTGTTCAGTTGTGACATTATATCACCTGTCAATTCTGTCTGTTGTATTCTGTCAAGATAAGAAAGTAAACCACTGATAATTATTAAAAAGTCACAGAAAAACATTTTAGATACAAAAATTGTCTACTGCCTACTTTGTTCCTCTGTATAAAATAAATTTCAAGTGAAGCACTGCCTTTTTGCATCATTGAGCCATAACCTGTCTGGCGTGGTGTATCTATGAGCAGGTGATTGCATAACGGCTGTGGCAGGCAAGTGCCACGTACGAAGGCACGTGTGGTGCCTGCTAGCGCCCTATAGGGTCTGACGGTGGCGGACTACGATATTTAGCTTGGATGTGCAAGTACGATGGTGAGGATGACTTGTTGGTTGGGGAGTTCCTGTTCACTACCTTCACCTGGCAGGGATCGTGTCGCAGAAGGAAGTGCTCCAGAGTATCCCAGCCACCTCCCACACGGACCATCATGTGGCGACCCTTTAACAACTTCAATGAAAAATAAAATATTAACATTGATGAATGTGATCATTATTTGCTAATTTTGAAGTAACAGTTACGCAATTGTACGAAGCTGAAAGATTTATGAGGCTAATCCATGGAATGAAAATGAATAAAGAACAAAAAAAGCAGCATTTTGTGGAACTAAAATTCATTATCCATTACAAAGATCCAAAAAGAATACATTGCTAGGTCTGTGCAGGAGAATTTCTTTGGAATCACTTAAAATTGGAAACTGAGAAATGTGGGTGTTTTGTTTTGTTTTTGGATTAATACTTTATGTGTAACTACCACGGAGTGAAAAAATAAAGATTCAGTAACACTAACCCGGATGAAGACATTGCGACCGGCTATGTTGTATCGCCCCTCTCCCACTTTTTTCACCTTGAGTTTGTTGCACTTGCTGGACGGACAATGACAATGCCTTTGAGCCACTCTCGCCACCTGTTGCACCTGAACCACATGAAAGGAAGAAATATGAAAAATTTCATTAAACCTTGTAAGCTCTTCCCACTCTATGACACTTAAGAAACTGGTACTCACCACATAATGTACCTGTGCTGCTGCGGATGATCTTCAAGGAAAAGAAGAAACTTAAAATACATTACAGAGGTTAACCCTCCTCAGAAACTCTGAGACCTGGGACCTATAGAGAGACTTTGATTACGCCCACCAATAAAAGCTGTAACGCAGAGCTTTTGTCGAGACTCTGGTATGTATTTCAAGGAAGGTAGAGGGCTATTATCAGAATAAGTAAATGGAGATACACAAAAGATTAAGGATGGTTGCAGTGCAAGGGTCAGTTAGGCGCTCACCCCATTTATAATCAATAAATTAATCAATGATCAGTACATTTCTACCTCACTAACAGCAAATTCAATATTATTTTTCTAATTTTAACATAAAATAACAGAACTATTACTTCAATTATTATTATATTGTTTTTGGAATAATCTATATATGGTGTGCATATATATAACACTGCCAATTTTCTTTTTCATTTCTGGTTGACCATTCCCAACTCACCCTCCTATCCAATTCGGTGACCTCTGTATGGTCTCCCTGTCCAAGATCCTGATCAATCTCTAGATCTGGGTCCTCACCACTGCCCCTGGACCAATCGTCCTCAGTCGTGTCACTGGGAACACCATCACTGGTACCACCGCTAGTTGCTCCTGGACCCGCGTTACCCTCACTGGCTGCTCGTCGCAGGTCGCATTGGGGAGACATGGCACCAACACCTCCAGGAGAGCTCTCTATTAACATCATACTGCGACGTTCACTACTACGAGGACGTGCCACCGGTGTTCGACCCCATCGATTAATGCTACCTGATGAGATTGCTGATGAAGAACTGCACACATGATAATAAGCACTAAGGTCGGGCAAGAAACTGAAGGTGTCCTAAATCACCTATTTCAACCTTACATGCTACGAATAATTCGCGATTTCTCCAGGACCTTCTCGACATTCCGAATGATTCTCGCAGCACGAGGCACACTCAAAATTCTGTCATACTGTAAGTGAGGGGAGAAAATTATTATTCAGGCTTTCTTGTACCAGTATTAGAATGCTCAACTATATCATGCTTCTGGCACTGAAAAGTATACCTACAGGATAAGAACAGCAGTACTTATAAGAAAGAAGACAGATTCTGTCAGAAACTGACACAGTAACAGAATCTAATACTAATCAGTTACAACTATGAATTGCATAGGATATAAACAAGAATATGTAGCTGTGTTTCAAATTGCTTTCAATCTACGTTACTAAATCTGTTTTATACCATGTTATAAAATATATATACACACACACTTCATTATCACATCCAATAAATTATTAACTAACATGCATTCTCTATTGCAACACAACCTCCAATACAGAGGTGCATCGAGCCACCCGTCCTTATAAAATCAGAATGATCATTTTCATTATCTCATCTCACAACACAAAATATGAGAATTCCACATTGATTGTCATCCAAAATAATTCAAGGTAATTTAGATACATTTAATGTTGTCCCTGGGACGAATTGCAATTTGAGATTTTGTCGCTTCTAATCCAGCATCTTTACCGGTACATACTGCACCAGTTTGTAAGGGCAAGTCGCTATTATTTTGAGACACACCACTGTTTTATTATCATTCATAATAGTAATTTTCCCTTCCTTCGTCCTTGCCTGCTGTGCCGTATCTTGTCAGGGGAGGAACGAGGTGTGACTGCAGGACTGGACTGGAACTGCCAGGACATGAGCGAGCTATGCGACAGCCCCGAATCAGAATGGCAGTGTGAGTGAGTCTGAGATTCTTCTTCTGCTATTTCTTTCTCCAGCTGCACCAGACTTGGGGGCTCCACACTGTAGCGAGACGCAAGGCGAGACACCTCTAGCAGACATAGGATCACGTTTCGAGGTTGATTGTGCAGAACTGAAAGGAATACCAATATATTATTATGGTAGCAATTGGTATGAACACATTTTGAGAATTAACAAAAAGAGAAGTATCCCAAAGATTCTATTAAATTACAAACTAAAAGGGCACACAAGAACAAAATTTTTCTAAGATTAATTTAAGAAGAAGAAGAAGAAGAAGAAGAAGAAGAAGAAGAGGGGGGGGAGGAGGAGGAGGAGGAGGAGGAGGAGGAGGAGGAGGAGGAGGAGGAGGAGGAGGAGGAGGAGGAGGAGGAGGAGGAGGAGGAGGAGGAGGAGGAGGAGGAGGAGGAGGAGGAGGAGGAGGAGGAGGAGGAGGAGGAGGAGGAGGAGAAGAAGAAATTCTATGGATCAAGTTAGTTAACATGGATATTTCTTTATAATGGAGGAGCCTTCTTGAGATCTCATATTAAGTAAGTACTTTGCTTTTGAGTAAAATGTTATAACACACACATCAAGACGGAAAACTGAATACCGCAGTGTTACTCTCCCTCTTGGACCATAAATGGCTCATGAATAAGAATATATTATAAGTTCATACCAAGATCATCACTTTCAAAAAGCAGGTTCTGATGGACTCCAAGTTTTCGACAAAACTGGATAAAATTCTCCATGTTGTCCCTTGAGAAGAAACTCCTCCTAGCTGCATTTTCCCAACACCGGCCCTTGATTGTTGGTACAGGCTGAAAGTGACGGAACCACAAAAAATCTTAGTCCTTCTGATCATCTGGTAATGTTTTAAAGATACTCCCCCCCACTAAGCTTTGTCAGAGTGCACTATGAATACAGATTTCTTGAAAGAATGGTTGAACAATTCATGCTTAAAATGAATACCAAGCAGCCTCAGAAAACTGGTAACCTAACCTAACACAAAAGGAAGCACAATACTCTAAAAATTCTGTCACCAGATGGAAGCATTCAGTCACATGACCAAATTTTGTCTGTTCAAAATTCAAGTCACGTACTGAAAATTACAATTTTAGATGAATTAAGCACAACAGATCAATTCACGAAGTGTAAAGTAAACAGTAGAAAGATATGCCATTCGTTTTTGCTCTGCACTCAGCTGTGCCTGCTCCGTTTAATAGCATGCCAAATCAAGACAACTTACACCCTTCGCAGATCCCATGTCGACCACTTGCTTGGCACGATCCTGGATAACTTGTGCCAAATGGCATACTACTACACCGTTATCCAACATTTCCAGGAAGTTCTCACCCGTGATGTAGTCAATCCCTGTAAAACACAAAGCGCACACACTCATCCTACATTTCATGCTTCCCAGGTACAAGTGGGTTGGGACATTGCGTAGTCTTGTAGGACAACCCAGAATACGTGGCAGACATCTTTAATGCCCTAAAAACGAAAACCTCATATTTTTGTAAGATATTGTACAAATTGCAGGGAAAATGCAATGACTTAGCACCTTTTTCGAATAAAAACAGTTCATTCGAAGACACGTTGGTATATTCGATTTTCTGAAAACAATCAGGGCTAGAGCCTCTACAAACACTGCCTAAACCTCGTAAGTTCACAGAACGACTGTGTTTGTTTGTGTGTTGTATTTAACGAGGCTATCAGTATCTGAAGCTATAGGATTAATAAAAATTGAACTAGAAACATAAAGAAGGAAGTGGTCGTGACCTAATTTAAGGTACGCTTACTATCCGGGCATTTGATTGGTGTAATTAAAGAAAACCACAAGAAGAACTCTGATCAGAATAGCAAGTCTCTTGGCCAAAATATTAACCCGGGACTTGCTAACTACTAGTTAAAAGGTACCAAGATGGTGATAAGCTTGGCTGTAGGGTTCCTAAGAAACCTAACCTAAAGTGAAATTTTTTAATCGGGAATATTTGTGGATGTATACCTGGGTCCCTTTGAGGTATAGGAAGCCGTGAATATGTTCAGCAAACACCGCCTGCTGGAGTATGTGACGTACTGTACTGTGCGTCTCGTGGCGCCAACACGTGCACATGCTACTATAAAACTTCCGGTGGATGGTTAACCCTTTGCATGCTGAATTACACGCCGTTGTCGGCTCTGACCACTGTGCGGGTGAGTCACAAAGCTTCCCCTGAATGATGAGCGAAACGTGACAAAACAAGGCGAGATTTCAAGTTCTCACGGCGATGAGTACGAAGATGACTGCTTTCTGGAATATTGCTCCGTACAGGGCTGATGATGAAGGCAGTAAGAACCTCTGAAACGTCGGTGAATTTCCACCAGACTTCAAGGCGCAACATCCCAGAAGGCAGACATCTTCATGAAGAAACAATGTAACAGTTCAAACGAAGAACCATCGTGAAGCAATATTTTTGTTTCGCTTAGCATTCGGGAATCTTGCGTTATCTTTTAGCGAAATATCTAATCACCAGGGTAATCGTTATATCTTACATTTAAACATTACGAGGAGCATAGTTCTGTACAATTGGGAGTTTAAAATTCAGTCTGCTCGCAGAACAGTGAACACTTTGTGTTTACCACGTGTTTTGTATAGTGAGGTATGTCCCTTCTCTGATAAATTCCAGGAACAAAATTATTATTCTATCCTGAAGTAGGAGGCAGTGTGTCCCTCTGAAACTATGTCAACCACCAATAACACTAAGCAGTTAACCACTGAGGGTCACAGTCTGAACTATAATTCTTACGAAAACCTCAAATAAAACTGTACGTCTAGAAACAAATGTTCCGACAAAAAGGCGTATTCATTTTATTCGAGTACTGTTTTGGGAATGTTTTAGCGTATATCTTAACCTATATTTTAATTGCGGGGTGGGGGGCAGAGAACCAAGATAGACATTTAAAACATCAAAGAACACATCTGGAAAACGTGTTCTGCAAACTGAAGTCCAGTTCTCTATCCTTCACGCTTGAAGAAGGATTAGCAACGTCACAGTTTACGAATGGTCTATTGTAGACCAGAGGTATTCAACCTTCTTTGTTCGCGTACCCCCAGATATAATTTCTCTTCAACTTTGTACCCCCAAAGTTGTTGGTGTATAATTCAAGTGTATATAATCTACATCTAAAATAAATTAAATAAATTACATTACTGATTATTCAGTGTTTATCATAAAATAATATTTTTTTAATTTCACGTGCCCCCTAAGATGTCTTCGTGTACCCCCGGGGGTACGCGTACTCCAGGTTAAATACCACTGTTGTAGAGGACTCAGGTAAAGCAGTTACTGTATCGATCTGCGAAAAGGGAAGACATTGTCTTTGTAAGGAGGGGGGATCCCCTTTTGCAGAACAGCGCAGACGTCCACTGCGGCCGGTCAAAACCTACTCGGGCAGACAGACAATATGGAGCCTTCGGACTTTGCATTAATTATCAATTTAAGACCTAGTACCACCTGCTTCAACAAACTAACTGTGCATTATGTATTTATGTGTTTCGTTGAAGCCTTTGAAAAGTGGTGCTATGTGCTACATTTAAAAGTACGAAGAAACCGACAGCCCGCCCTGGAAACTGTACTCAGCCAAATTTTTCTGGAATATTGCTCCGTACAGGGCTGATGATGAAGGCAGTAAGAACCTCTGAAACGTCGGTGAATTTCCACCAGACTTCAAGGCGCAACATCCCAGAAGGCAGACATCTTCATGAAGAAACAATGTAACAGTTCAAACGAAGAACCATCGTGAAGCAATATTTTTGTTTCGCTTAGCATTCGGGAATCTTGCGTTATCTTTTAGCGAAATATCTAATCACCAGGGTAATCGTTATATCTTACATTTAAACATTACGAGGAGCATAGTTCTGTACAATTGGGAGTTTAAAATTCAGTCTGCTCGCAGAACAGTGAACACTTTGTGTTTACCACGTGTTTTGTATAGTGAGGTATGTCCCTTCTCTGATAAATTCCAGGAACAAAATTATTATTCTATCCTGAAGTAGGAGGCAGTGTGTCCCTCTGAAACTATGTCAACCACCAATAACACTAAGCAGTTAACCACTGAGGGTCACAGTCTGAACTATAATTCTTACGAAAACCTCAAATAAAACTGTACGTCTAGAAACAAATGTTCCGACAAAAAGGCGTATTCATTTTATTCGAGTACTGTTTTGGGAATGTTTTAGCGTATATCTTAACCTATATTTTAATTGCGGGGTGGGGGGCAGAGAACCAAGATAGACATTTAAAACATCAAAGAACACATCTGGAAAACGTGTTCTGCAAACTGAAGTCCAGTTCTCTATCCTTCACGCTTGAAGAAGGATTAGCAACGTCACAGTTTACGAATGGTCTATTGTAGACCAGAGGTATTCAACCTTCTTTGTTCGCGTACCCCCAGATATAATTTCTCTTCAACTTTGTACCCCCAAAGTTGTTGGTGTATAATTCAAGTGTATATAATCTACATCTAAAATAAATTAAATAAATTACATTACTGATTATTCAGTGTTTATCATAAAATAATATTTTTTTAATTTCACGTGCCCCCTAAGATGTCTTCGTGTACCCCCGGGGGTACGCGTACTCCAGGTTAAATACCACTGTTGTAGAGGACTCAGGTAAAGCAGTTACTGTATCGATCTGCGAAAAGGGAAGACATTGTCTTTGTAAGGAGGGGGGATCCCCTTTTGCAGAACAGCGCAGACGTCCACTGCGGCCGGTCAAAACCTACTCGGGCAGACAGACAATATGGAGCCTTCGGACTTTGCATTAATTATCAATTTAAGACCTAGTACCACCTGCTTCAACAAACTAACTGTGCATTATGTATTTATGTGTTTCGTTGAAGCCTTTGAAAAGTGGTGCTATGTGCTACATTTAAAAGTACGAAGAAACCGACAGCCCGCCCTGGAAACTGTACTCAGCCAAATTTTAATATTATCCTCTCTACGTCTAAATCTCACTTAAAATTTTCTCACGTTTGCATGAATCTGTAAAGTCTCAGATCGCGCTACATGTTATGACAGTCAGTGAAGAGTATACATACAAATTATGCAGCTTTTCAGTATATAATTTTCTCTATGTTCCTTTTATATCCTCCCTATTTGGTGCTATTATTCTCCTTAGCCCCCTGTTCTCAAACATTTTCAATCTTGGTCCACATCTTAAGGTAAGAAACCAAGTTTCGTTCCTGTACTGTCCGGGGAACAAAGGCTGGAATTATTTCCTCTGCATCAGAGGCCTTAGGTAAAAGAAAAGATGTTGTTAACGAAGAAATACACAGGAATTTCCATTATCTATTTTATGTGAACCTTTTGTTTGTATTTTGTGACATTTATATGACTTGTATTTGTATAACAAGTATTGTATTATTATGACTTATTCTACATCCTACTGTCATCTGACTAACTTACGGATCCATGGAATGTAATAAAGATGTATGTATGTATCTGTTTTCGCTACGAGGCGATTTTAAACTGAAAACGTCTGAAAAACTGAAGAAGGTTTCTGAAGACAGAGAACACGTGGGAGTAGACGACCATTTCATATTCATCCACACGCACACTGAATCAATATGAAGAGGGGTGTTGACATCGATTTAACCCAGCACTGTTAATCGTACATTGTCCGGACTCTTTAGCTTCGTGTGTGGATGAAGTTACCAACCACGGTCACAAATGGCGACTTCCTAACTCAGCTGAACTTGTAAATGTTAACGTCATTGGTCTTCTCATTTTCTGTTACGAGCCTTCGAGACGTTTACGAGAAGCTCCGTTTCCTTACATTGCCATTTAATGTAATTATGTTCACGCCCACGGACAGGTTAATGACTGAGGTTATTGCTACTAGATGCTATGTACACTCACTGATACAACAACATGACTTAATACTGAGGAAATATGTTTACAGTTCTGTTAATTTACGGTTGCCTCTGGACTGCGCAAGAACGTACTGACAGGGGAAGAACGCAAAATCGTGACCTGAGATATCGACAGTTGAAGGAGAGACAGCGACTAAGCAGTTTGCAGAACTGTTGGGAAACATCACCTATTAATTACCCCAAAAATTAGCGATGTAGTGTCTACTCTCACAACACTTATGATCGGGCATACGTCTCTTGTGTGTTTGTGCATAAAAACTGTGACATACTTAATATAGGTAGCTTATATCGATAAATCGATAATATCATAACGCTTAACCCTTCATAATTGGACCTTAATTGTATGCAAAAATTAATAAACTGATCCACACAGAGAGGACTTGGCCAAGTTACTGAGCGTCCAAAATTCGGTGACTCCCATAAAATAATACGACTGCTTTTCCGCTGTTCTGCAG